TATATATATATATATATTATATATATAGTGTGTGTGTGTGTGTGTGTGTGTGTGTGTGTGTGTGTGTGTGTGTGTGTGTGTGTATCACAATACATCATTTCACAGAGAAAACTCACGCGCGGTCTCATAGTTTAATACACCAATACGAACGAAATATTTACACTTTATCACTAAACCATGTCCTTCACGTGATGTACCGAATTCTGCACTGCATGTTGAACTAGCCACCCGCCTTGTCCAACGAGCAATCTGGCAGTTATTCGACTTTTGTTTTGATCTGTTTTTTCACCTTTAAGGCATTGTGTCATAAAGGTGAATAGTCTGTTATTCAACTCTGACATGGCTGTACACGGAGTAACCACGATCGGTTCAAAGGTGTTATTATATAATGATCTTTATTAATTGACGTACTACCACAAAATTGATAACTCTGCATCCTACTCGAAAAAAAATAGAGGTATACATGACATTACCGCTTGACAGGTACCTGGAACAAATGCCAACCTGCTAAATGTCTCTAATAACATAGTAATTATCATTATAGTAACTATAATGATAATAAAAAATGCGATCGTAGTAACCTGCTAAATGTCTCTAATAACATAGTAATTATCATTATAGTAACTATAATAATGATAGAAAAAATTGCGATTATAGTTTATTCAGTGCACAAAACTCCAATAACTGCCAGATGGCTCGTTGGACAAGGCAAATAACTAGTTCCACATTCCACATTCGCTATATCACTAGAAGGCCATGTTTTAGTGATACAGTGTAAATATCTCTTACGTATAATGCAAAGTAATACTTATGTAATACTTATACTTAGTATGAGAGTAAAATTAACAGTCAGATCGAAGCCTTCGTATGTAATACTATATACTTTATATACTTATGTAATACTTAATACTTATACTTATGTAATACTTATACTTAGTATGAGAGTAAAATTAACAGTCAGATCGAAGCCTTGGTATCATCTGTTCGACATACCTCTTTCTGGCAGAATTTTCAGTGTTCGACTTTTCATCTGGTAACTGGAAAATATGAAGTTATTTCGTTATGGGGCTGTCACAATTATAGCGTATGAGACCAACGTGCGAGTAACGAATCGCATTTTTCAAATACGCACAACTTTACAGCGTATCGTCGGAAATTGTGTGTGTGTGTGTGTGTGTGTGTGTGTGTGTATGCGTGTGTGTGTGTGTGCGTGTTTGTGTGTGTGGTGTGTGTGCGTGTTGTGTGTGTGTGTGTGTGTGTGTGTGTGGTGTGTGTGTGTGTGTGTGTGTGTGTGTGTGTGTGGTGTGTGTGTGTGTGTGTGTGTGTGTGAATTGCCAATTGTGCTGCCAATTGCTACCTCCATCTCTCATGGTCATGGGACAAGTGATGAAGATGCAGAAATTCCAGCCTTTTTATATGAATCTATTAATACGCGAGCAATACGCACGACATAAGTTTCCATCCGTCAAGGACTCGTTAGGTTAGGCATACGCATACGTTCAATGCGTATACGTTCTCTCCTCTCACTTTCTCTCTCTTCTCTCTTCTATCTTTCTCACTCCTCTTTCTTTCTCTCTCACTTTCTTTCTCTTTCTCACACTCACTTTCTTTTCTCACTCCTCTTTCTTTCTCTCTCACTTTCTTTCTCTTTCTCACTCGCTCCTCTCTCTTTCTCCTCTCACTTTCTTTCTTTTTCTCTCTCACTCCTCTTTCTTTCTCTTTCTCCTATCTTTCTCTCTCACTCCTCTTTCTTTCTCTCTCCTATCTTTCTCTCTCACTCCTCTCACTTTCTCACTCTCTCCTCTGCGGCTGCATACGTCAGCGATACGCGAGAGAGAGAGAGAGAGAGAGAGAGAGAGAGAAGAGAGAGAGAGAGAGAGAGAGAGAGAGAGAGAGAGAGAGAGGAGAGAGAGAGAGAGAGAGAGAGGAAGGAGAGAGGAGAGGTGAAGAGGGTAGAGAAAAGGAGAGAAGAGGAGGGGATGGGAAAGGAGAGGAGAGGGAGTGAGTGAGAGGGAGAGAGAGAGAGAGAAGAGAGAGAGAGAGAGAGGAGAGAGAGAGAGAGGAGAGAGAGAGAGAGAGAGAGAGAGAGAGAGAGAGAGAGAGAGAGAGAGAGAGAGAGCAAAAGAAGCAGAATCAGAACAGGTGGAGATAGAGAGGGAGAGTATCCACCATCGGATTCTCACGCCACACATGCCAACGTAGGATAAACGTCCTTAGCGTATGAGTGACGTACCATTACCGTCATTCCAGCGCGTTCAACGTATGTTTACCGCGGTCCTAACCTAAAATTCATCCGACGGCATAAACACAAAGAATTACCCGCCTCTGCATATATAAGCCTACATTGACGTGTGACAACGTGTCTCTGACGTAAACGACTAAGCCTACATTGACACAACGTGTTTCTGACGTAAACGACTAAGCCTACATTGACGTGTGACAACGTGTTTCTGACGTAAACGACTAAGCCTACATTGACGTATGACAACGTGTTTCTGACGTAAACGACGCATGCCTAACTTACGTCAAGCATTCATCAGCGTATGCCAGCGTATGACGACATTGCCCATACGTTGCTTGGGACGTTGGTGTCATACGCTGTAGCGTGACAGGTCATTTAAACTTGGCGGAACTCTAGGGGCCCAGATGAGTATGGGAGGCACTTTACTGTCTATCAATATTCAGATATATGCGTGTGTATGTGCGTGCTTGGATGTGTGCATATGTGTGTGTGTGTGTGTGTGTGTGTGTGTGTGTGTTGTGTGTGTGTGTGTGTGTGTGTGTGTGTGTGTGTGTGTGTGTGTGTGTGTGTGTGTGTGTGTGTGTGTGTGTGTGTGTGTGTGTGTGCGTGTGTGCGTGTGTGTGTGTGTGAGTGTATGAGTGTATGTGCGTGCTTGGATGTGTGTATGTGTGTGTGTGTGTGTCTATGTATACATTTATGTACGGATATATCCACAGTTTCGGTCGTGGATTGTAATAAAACAAATAGCGTGATTCGTTTATCTTAAACTTCTATCACACATCATCATATTATTGTTGATCCATTCATACCTGAAAAAAAAATAGTATGAACACTATTTTTTTTCTTTTATCTCCGTATTTAACCAGTTTATAGACTGAAACAGAAATGGATATCGCACTGAAAAGGATAGCTCGGGGGACTCGAAACGTAGAGGAGGGGAAGGGTATGGACCCCACCCTGCAATTCCAACAGCGGCCTAATATGTGATGTATAAACACGACGAAGATCAACACGACGAAGGTATAATGGGTTTCGAATCTACTAGTTGTCACTTATACTTTTCTTTTTTGTATAAGCGCTGTATCCCTTTTTATTATTTATTTATTTATTTATCTATTCAATTATTTTCTATTCTGATATTTTTATTTATTTATTTATTTATTTATTTTCGATTCTGATATTACAAAAGAGGCGCCTGTAATCTAAAAGAAATTTTCTTCATTTTAATTGCTATTATTTCCGCAGCAATTAGCCAATATTCTGACCGCAAAATTCTATACTATATCCTAAAATTCTAAACTATGTCCTTGCAATGAAAGTTTTCTAAAAGAGTGTTTAGTGTGCAAGAGTTTTTAACTCCAAAATGATCTTGGTCTCTGATTTTCTCTTTCTCTCTTCATCTCTCTCTCCTCTGCTCTCTCTCTCTCTCTCTCTCGTCTCTCTCTCCTCTCTCCTATATATATCTATATCTATATAATCTATCTATCTATATATATATATTCTTCTCTCTTTCTCTCTCTCTCTCTCTCTCTCTCTCTCTCTCTCCTTCTCCTCTTCTCTTCTCTCTCTCTCTCTCTCTCTCTCTCTCTCTCTCTCTCTCCGCCGCCTACGTAAACACGAAATAATACAAACGAGAAGCTACTGTTAACATAGCTAAGCGTAAAATTGCTCAATATATCATTTCTGTGGAATATGTGTGTACGTGGATATACTCGTGCAGATACGTGTGTGTCAGATATGTTTTGTGTGGTATGTATAATGTGTTGTGTGTGTGTGTATGTGTGTGTATGTGTGTTGTGTGTGTGTGTGTGTGTGTGTGTGTGTGTGTGTGTGTGTGTGTGTGTGTGTGTGTGTGTGTGTGTGTGTGTGTTGTGTGTGTGTGTGGTGTGAGTGAGTGAGTGAGTGAGTGAGTGAGTGAGTGAGAGAGAGAGAGAGAGAGAGAGAGAGAGAGAGAGAGAGAGAGAGAAGAGAGAGAGAGAGAGAGTTTTCTTGTACATGTCCATGTGTTTGGTGTTCGTGAGTGTGTGTGTGTTTGTGCGTGTGTGTTTACGTGTGGGTGTCTATGAAAGAAAGAAAATGAAAATGAAATCAACGAAGAAACTCGAGAGAGAGTACACACCCACAGCCACCTACTAGTGCCTGTTATCTTCTATCTTACAATTAGTATCGATCTCACATCGCAATGAAGATAGAAATCAGCTGACCAGGAGTTGAATAGCGAGTAACAAACAGCGAGTAAATGAAAGGAGATACAACGTATTACTGATAATGAGATAGGAGGAATGACAATAAAAGTCTATGAAAATTTCGATGAAAAGAGAGAGAGACAAAGGGAAAGAGAGAGACAAAGAAACCGGTGTAGATAACAATGAGAGAATGTTCAAACAGCCAGTACTTTCAATACATATTAATATCTTTTCTTGGACTATCTACTCGTTCTACTCAAAGACGTACAAGAGAGTGTGTGTGTGTGTGTGGGGGGGGTGGGGGGGGGGGGGGTTAGACCATACAACCCCCAACCCCCATTTAATTAAGTAGACCTACATATCTCAAAAACCAAGAGCATATATAATGCATTTGAGGATATGAGCATTCAGAGGCGTTATTATTTACTGATTACTATTATTATTACTTATTAATATTCAGACTTATTACTGACTACTAGTGTTTTTACTTATTACTATTATCATTATTATTTATCTATTATTACTATCATTATTATTATTATTACATTTTATTATATTATTATTATTATTAT